GACCAATAATGCACAGAGGGTGTAAATAGATTTTATACACATTACAAAGTTAACATATGGTTTATGTCGTTTATTTATGTCCGTTTTAATCTTCTCACAACTGCATTATCATTCCATTACCTCTAAACGATGCACGTATTCAACTCACTTTAAAACTGACTTGTTTTGATAGCGTCAAAACAAAGACAATGTCAAGTTGAAAATTGCATGAATTTATTTTAATATACTCATGTGACAATTTAAATTTTTTTAAAGCTGAAATATTTGTCTTGGTTTCACAATTAAAACGAAAAAATATTTTTTTTTGAGGAAATAATATTTTTTTTAAAGTGCAGGCTTGAATTTCGCGAGTAATATTATTTTGTTTTAATGTCTCAACAAAAAGACTTTGAAGACTTCAGAAACAATGTGATTTTTTAAAAGTCTGATCAAAAAAATAAACACAAATAACAGTCCTTTAAAGGCATCTGTAGGACACGCTTTGTCATTCTTGCTTTGTATTTGATGTTCTCTTTACATTTTGGTTTTCAATAGCTTTAAAGATCTTCCAATTTAACGTTTTTCTGTAAAAGTTTTGTAAGTTTATAAATGTTTGCCTTTATCAAGAGAAGCCAAAAAAAAAGGTTACAACACCGTTGTCTGAAATCACATTTATTTTCAAATTGTTTATTTAAAAAAATAATTCTGGCAAATGTTGCGTTTATTTTTAGATTTTATAGTTTATGATGGGAATACCACGATCGCTCTTCCCCCCGCCCCCCCCCCCCCCACTTTTACCGCATGCTTTTCTTTTATAAATTCCATTCTTTAGAATCATCGTTTCTCTTGTCTACAGTTAATTCAGCTGTATGCCAGGTGTTTAGGTGTTAATCATGGGACCATCAGATTTTGAATTGGTGTTTATCAGCTCTTTATGTTGTGTTTACGGGTAAGTACCCTTTCGAATATGACCGTTCACGAGTAAGGTGAAGTAGAGTTCACCTGTTTCAGTGACCTCGGTACAAGAAGAGATTGTGTGGTCAGCACTATGTCCAGCCGCTTTTACTTTCCATAACGTGAGTCATGTATCAAAGATGTTCTGCAGTTTTGAACGCGGCATTCGAACTCGAGAATTCTGGTTTAGCAATCGTATACTCTATCATTCGACCGCGACGTTCAATTAGGTGTCTATCAAATGTCCGTCCTAATTATAAAAGTTTTGTCCACTAAAGTTTAAATAGAAGACAGCAGAAGATTGAAAACACTGCCTTAGCTGCCCCCACACTACATCATCTTCCCATAACAGCTCCCATACTTCACTCCCCCCAACCCGCCCTAACTGTTCATCACTACATATTACAATCGCTGACTCCCCGTCCTATAGGACCCGACCCTCAGGACCTAGAAGTCCTCTCCACGAATCTGCTATACATTAGACAGAAATAGCCAGACTGTTTGACAAACGTCAAAGAACACCTTCGTCACGTGGCGCCATCTTTCAACAAACACCAGTAACACGAGACTTCGCCGATATCTCGTTGTCACAAATATTCATCACGCTGATTCAGTGTCATCGCATTGTCACAAACATTTGTCACAAACATTTGTCACATTGGCTGCCTCTCTACAACCCAAAACTAAACTGCCCGCCTTGGTGCTCGAAAACACAAATTATTTATTCACCCGTCTTAAAATCGGTCCAGCCCTTGTCCTCTATACTCGTCAATCAGAGAAAATTACCAGGAGCGAGCCAGACGCATCATTTTGATTTAAAAGTAAACAACCAAATAACTAGAACAAATCGGGTTTTGGTGTTGTTGAGTTTTTAAAAGATAATATCATTACTGTCTGCCAGTGGCGTAGCTAGGTGGAGTGTCACCCGGTGAGGCACTTCGTTGTGTCACCCCCAAGAAACAAAGTATATATTGTATATATATATATATATATATATATATATATATATATATATATATATATATATATATATATATATATATATATATATATATATGTGTGTGTGTGTATGTGTGTGTATAAGCTTTAATCACTGCAGACTTAATAATAACAAAGTTTATCTATAGTTTGTTAATAGTATAGTTGGATGTAGCACTTGTTTTCTCTATAGTTAGCACGGTTACGTCATGGTGTCACCCCCACCCCTTGTAACAACTTCTCGATTTATACTGAAAAGACTATTTAACTTAAATTTATCATTAATGGAACTGGCAAAAAAAGTATTTTTCTTCTTTACATTTTGCATTTTTGCCTTGGTGTCACCCCCCTAAATCGTGTCACCCGGTGCGATCCGCACCCCCCCCCCCCCCTTTTGCTAAGCCTCTGCTGTCTGCACATAAATACCCGAATAAAGAAAGAAATTATTAAAGATATTAAATAAAAAAGAATGACTATCCCATGTTGCAGGGAAAGGGGGTGGTGTGGTATGACATAAAGTGTAGCATATCAGGAAAAATCCGACATCAAACGTAAACACTGAGTGATTGAAATGAAATCCTGTGATGTTCCGATGCTGTGTCTAGCATTCACAGTGAAGTTCTTGCTTGAGAGAAAATATCATCGCTAATGATATCCATTCATAATCCTCCCTAGCCTTAATCGATACCCAATATTGATGGAGTGTTTTTGTTCTTTATTTGGATATCTGCTAAAACTGGGAAAATCCTTTAAGTCACGGACATATTTGCCTTAATGAGGGTTTCATTACAATCTAGCATACAAAATCAAAACTTTAAACATATAGCATACAGAGCATACATAATACATTAGGTTGTACATACATGAAACATGATATTTAAACATAGTGAATTAACTTCATACAAGATACAGACCATACAACACACTAAGCCTTCATAACATATAGCACACAGAACATAACATGCAGAACATTTAAAAAACTGCTTCACAGAACACATACAAGCCAAACAACATGTAAATAGACATAAACATACACCAATCAAAACATACAACTTACAGAACAACGAGCATACATCCTACATATTATATTAGAGTTAATAAATCATATTGCACATATAAGCAAAAACTAACACAAATTGCAGCATACAATTTTAGAAATTTGCATACAGAGAAACATACGTTAGTGAACTGCATAATATCATCATTGAATGCAAAAATAATATACACATAATATATATATATATATATATATATATATATATATATATATATATATATATATATATATATATATATACATATATATATTAATGTGTGTATAAAAATAGTGTATACAACATAATGAATACATAAGAGAAAACCAAAAGCTCATAGAATAAACACTCGTGTTTATTAACATAGCTTACACTTTCTATGATCTCTTTAGCTATACTAGACGCAAGTAGACAAACAATTTTGTAATTTGTTTTACAATCAGATTACCTTACACTGCTTACATAAACATTACTTGGGTCCATATTTCTCAAACAAAGAGAAATATTCAAACAGATTTTAAAGTAATTCTGGAGCTTAACATGCTATATAAGCGAGCATATTGTAGTCCATGTCTTGTTGAAACTCTATATCAGATATTTGATGAACCAGAAGATTTTTACGTTAAGTGTAGCCCAGGGCGGGAGAGAATGTTTCATTAATGAAAACTCTGGGATAAGAGCCGGTTAAGAAGGGGTGGGGGAGGGGGGGGGGGAGACAAGGAGCAAGTTTCCAACAAGAAAACATTTCACGAGCAGGCTAGTAAGCTCCAGCCCCCACATAGAAGGAACAATTCTATAAACTGGGGAGAAAACAGTGATAAAAGAAATTCAATCCTCGGCAAAATGTATTTCACGAGGGCTGAGCTGGGGAAGATAAGCTTAGATCGTAATATGGGCATTTTCAGTTGTTCGTTTGAAGGGGCGTGTTCTATGTTCGATGGGTGGATGGGTGGATGGGTGGTTTGATGGATGGATGAGTGGATGGGTGGGTGGATGGGTGGGTGGGTGGATGGATGGATGGGTGGATGGGTAGTTTGATGGATGGGTGGATAGGCGGATGGATGGATGGGTGGATAGGTGGATGGATGAATGGATGGATGGGTGGATGGGTGGATGGGTGGATGGGTGGATGGGTGGATGGGTGGATGGGTGGATGGATGGGTGGATGGATGGATGGGTGGAAGGGTGGAAGGGTGGATGGATGTTGAGATTGTATGGGAGATGGCATTATATATGGAAGACAAGACACGATGAAGTTATTCATTTTAAGTTAAAAATATTTTCATTACAAATAGAAAGTTTTAAGTCTAACTACGTTTTTTTTTTACGATAAATGTCCTACTTAAGTCAAAAAGTTGAACTACATTTTGCTGAAAAATTTCCAACAATACAAACAGCTACCACCCAGTGAAACAAAACATTAGCCCAGATATATCCGAAGACCTGACAAAGCTTGATACACACTGGTCTTATTACCGGAAACAAAATAAACACGGCCATCACACATTAACGTATGAGCAGTGTAGGTGACTAGTAAACCGGAAGTAGCACGACAGCCATCACAAATTAACGTATGAGCAGTGTAGGTGACTAGTAAACCGGAAATAGCACGACAGCCATCACAAATTAACGCATGGACCCGTAAACCGGAAGTCGCACGCAACTGTTGACGTGAGACCGTCGCGACTAATTGTCATCTCGTCCAATCACGCCAGTGGCCAGACGAGAGTTAAAGTTTTCAAATCACTTCCGGGTTACGAATTTTATCCCGGTGCCTTGACGGTCGATTCCAGACTAGTTAATTAAAGAAAAACATCGTTTTGTTTTCTTAGAATTTCTTCGATGAAGCAGCTATATACCATCTTAGGTCACAACGGAGATAATATAACAAAATAAAAAATACATCGAGATAACGAGATCGTTTTGTGAGATAACTGTGGGATAGTTGTGAGATACCCGTAACCATCATTACAGTAATGAGCTGTTTGCACACCGAAGTATTGCACTGCTCAGCACCGGTGCTGTTGCGCATGTTCATGTTGAGCCATCACTGTTTTTGTTTATGTATCTACATTTTAAGGCTAGAAGTATTTTTTATCTTATAAAAAGGTTTTAATTGTAATTTATTTATTGTTACGAGTTATGTTTTCATAGATAAAGCACTTCAATATCAGCCTAAAGGATTTAAACCTGAAAAAATATCAAAACAGACGTATTCGTATTAATTATAGTATCGATTCCGAAAACACAATTACCTAGGGTCAGGTGAGTTAGGTTGAGCAGTATGTTAACAACAAGATTCAGAGCTTAGGTTGAGGTTAACATTCCCTGTTCAAGTTATCATTATCGTAGTTATTTTTGTTTTTCTAACGTATTTTGCCAATCGATAACTAAGTAGATAAATCACATGTAGAGCAGTAATTCGCAGCGAATAGTTTTACAAAGGTATCACTAAAAGTGCATGCGTTATAGTTACATTCAAGAATATTTTTCTAAACATCGCGGACACTCAAAAAAACATACACTTATCTTTCAGACATCTTAAGTTAAATTTCTTTGTCCGATAAAAATTTTGTAAGGAGAAATAAAACATACAGAAAGTGTCTTCTCGTTAAAAAATATTTTTAAACCTCTAGTTCCGAATTGAAATAAATATATAAAATAGTTATTCAGCGGAGAAAAGAAGAATTCACAATTTAACCTTCTCCAAGGCTACTAAACGCCGTCATAAAAAAAAAAAAACCGATGCTGTTATTAGAGTTCGCTCCCCTGGGATCGTTGATTGATTACTCGTCACTCACGTCATATATACAAACAGAGTGACAGGCAAGGGGTGGGGGTGGGAACACACGGGTTTTAGAAAGAATGTTCTAGAAAATTTAAGCAATACAACAGTAGATTGTACGTCGATTTAGTGCCAAGCATGATACACGTTGAAGACATTTACACGGTGATGGGTCTATATCGTTTTTAATTCATTGACAGACCTTCTTTCTAATATTTGGTCGTTGATCAAACAATTAATTTGCCAATTTGGGTGTTATACTTTAGAAACCTACTCTATAACTTTGCATGTATTTAACGAATTTATTTTCTAATTTTAGTAAGATATTAAATCTAGTTTATCATTTAATATTTGATAGCAAGGTCCTTTGATTTTTTTTTCACAAAGAACCATTTGTAGACAATTTAGGTTTGTAATTTCAATGTTAAGATGAATTCTAAAACTACTGTTTTGAAGAATTATTTACACAGCTTAGTTACTTCAGTAGTTTTTAAGATTCATTGCTATAGTACAACGCTTTGAAGCTAACTTTTAACGTTTTTTGATATTAGAAATAACCTTCACGACATCTAGAGTTTCTTTCAGAGTTCCTTAAGACATCTTTTAGCACCAGTAAGGCAGTCACTAACTGCACCAAAATGTCATTCACTCCACTTTTAGCCACACTAAGACAACTACTAGTAAAGGAAAGTTCCATTTCGTACACTATGCTCTATGGGACATAGTAATTTAGAGTTCAACTATTTCTGTGACCTCGGCATATGAAGGGATAGTGTTGCCAGCACAAAGCACAGCCGTCTTTACTTTCCCTAAAGCAAGTCAGGTACCCATCAGAGTTGGGTGGACGTTCTACTGACATAAACCCGGATTCGAACTCGAGATATTCGGGTTAGCATTCATCCGACCACGCTATCCTATGACAACTAACTCCACTACAAACTATTAACCCCCCCCCCCCCCCTGAGAGAATTGATTAACCTCCCACAGAGAGCAGGATGGAGGAGACACAAGAACAAGAGGGCTCGGTCCAGCTGGAGGCGCCAGATGAAATGATGGACGAGGCGCCTGTGTACAGGAACAAGCCGGCCCGACTGGCCAACCAGCCTCAGTGGTCAAAGGAGCCGGCCACAACGACGTCCATGTTGATGTTCAGCAACGAGGAGAGGGAGGAGAGGATGTTGGCTAGACTGGAGAAGCCACCACAGTGTCTCAAGGCCAGTTGGAGTGTTTATGACAAGGTCAGTTGTGGGGATCTGACAGGGTCAGCTGTGGGGGTCTGACAAGGTTAATTGTGGGAAGGGACAGGGTCAGCTGTGGGGGTCTGACAAGGTCAGTTGTGGGGGCCTGACAAGGTCAGTTGTGGGGGTCTGACAAGGTCAGTTGTGGGGGTCTGACAAGGTCAGTTGTGGGGGTCTGACAAGGTCAGTTGTGGGGGTCTGACAGTGTCAGCTGTGGGGGTCTGACAGTGTCAGCTGTGGGGATTTGACAAGGTCAGTTGTGGGGGTCTGACAGTGTCAGCTGTGGGGGTCTGACAGGGTCAGTGTGGGGGTCTGACAAGGTCAGTTGTGGGGGTCTGACAAGGTCAGTGTGGGGGTCTGACAAGGTCAGTTGTGGGGGGGGTCTGACAAGGTCAGTTGTTGGGGGTCTGACAGGGTCAGTTGTGGGGGTCTGACAAGGTTAGTTGTGGGGGGTCTGACAGGGTCAGCTGTGGGGGTCTGACAAGGTTAATTGTGGGAAGGGACAGGGTCAGCTGTGGGGGTCTGACAACGTCAGTTGTGGGGGCCTGACAAGGTCAGTTGTGGGGGTCTGACAAGGTCAGTTGTGGGGGTCTGACAAGGTCAGTTGTGGGGGTCTGACAAGGTCAGTTGTGGGGGTCTGACAGTGTCAGCTGTGGGGGTCTGACAGTGTCAGCTGTGGGGATTTGACAAGGTCAGTTGTGGGGGTCTGACAGTGTCAGCTGTGGGGGTCTGACAGGGTCAGTGTGGGGGTCTGACAAGGTCAGTTGTGGGGGTCTGACAAGGTCAGTGTGGGGGTCTGACAAGGTCAGTTGTGGGGGGGGGTCTGACAAGGTCAGTTGTTGGGGGTCTGACAGGGTCAGTTGTGGGGGTCTGACAAGGTTAGTTGTGGGGGGTCTGACAGGGTCAGTTGTGGGGGTCTGACAAGGTTAGTTGTGGGGGTCCGAAAAGGTCAGTTATGGGGGTCTGACAAGGTCAGTGTGGGGGTCTGACAGGGTCAGTCGTGGGGGTCTGTCAAGGTCAGTGTGGGGGTCTGACAAGGTCAGTGTGGGGGTCTGACAGGGTCAGTCGTGGGGGTCTGTCAAGGTCAGTTGTGGGGGTCTGACAAGGTCAGTTGTGGGGGTCTGACAGGGTCAGTCGTGGGGGTCTGTCAAGGTCAGTTGTGGGGGTCTGACAAGGTCAGTTGTGGGGGTCTGACAAGGTCAGTGTGGGGGTCTGACAAGGTCAGTTGTGGGGGTCTGACAGACAAGGTCAGTGTAGGGGTCTGACAAGGTCAGTTGTGGGGGTCTGACAGGGTCAGTGTAGGGGTCTGACAGGGTCAGTTTTGGGGGCCTGACAAGTTCAGTTGTGGGGGGTCTGACAGGGTCAGTTGTGGGGGTCTGACAAGGTCACTTGTGGGGTCTGACAAGGTCAGTGTGGGGTCTTGCATTGTCAATTGTGGGGTCTGACAGGGTCAGTTGTGGGGGGGGGGTCTGATAGAGTCAGTTATGGAGTGACAAGATGGGTTCTGTATGTATGACAAGGTCAGGTGTAGAAATTTTGACAAGGTCAATTTGGAGGTAATTTAGTTTTTAATCTTTGACGGTGAGTTGTGTGATCATCAATTGTGGAAACTTTAACAAGGTTATTTAAGGGAGCTTTCACAAGGTCAGTTGTTGCATTTATAATAAGGTATTTTTCAGGGAGAACATATGACTAAAAGCTAGGTTCCAGGTGATTGCTAATTTTCTTAAGACATTTTAAGTTATTGAAAGTAAATTAGTTACACTATTAAAGATTAAGACATTATAATCCCGTATGAAAATCTACGATGTTAGTAATAATTCTAATATACAAGTACAACACTTGATACTAATTAATTTGTGTACAAAATCCCTCAATTTGTAGGAGAAAAAAAAGTTAAAAACCTACAGGGAAGTAACTATATAAAATTAGTTTTATATAATGTTTTTTGGATTACTTCCCTTACTACTGTAGCCAGTACTACCTTCAATGTCGTATATCTACATTCTGTAGGAAGGTGTTTGGCGTCTACAAACTTTACACCATAAACCATATTATTCTTCTTAAGACATGGCCTTACATTTTATGCGTTACATAGCACAATATAAAAATACCAACTTTGAATGATGTAACTGCTAATTTTGCAGCTGACCCACGCACTAAGACCCCCTAAGGGCATCGACACGCCATCACTAGGGTCATCCACTGACCCTCCTCCGGCCATCGCCCCTGGGGACATGAAGAGCATGGGTGTTCTTTACGACCCCCTGGAGGATAAGAAAAGAAAGTTCTTGAACAAGAGGTTCAAGAACATGCTGGATACGTTCTCCATGATAAGGGAGGCTCCACTTGGGCCCTACATCAGGCCAAGTAAGTTCTTTCAGTAATGGTCAGTAGTTCATGTAAGTGTTATTTAAACTGTTCAGTAGTCCGTAGTTCAAGTAAATGGCACTTGAACAGTCCAGTGGTCAGTAGTTAAAGTGTTACTGAACACATAAGTATATGACAAAACTATAAGCATTATAAGAAGTGTAATGTGTGACATGAGTGTTTGGGTGTGACTATACTAGGCTCTGATCTGTTGCAGCTCCACCCAAATGTGGGTGTGGCTATAACAGGCTAATATATTTCAGCTCCATCTAAAGGTGAGTGTGGCTATACCAGGCTAATATATTTCAGCTCCACCCAAATGTGGGTGTGGTTATACCAGGCTAATATATTTCAGCTCCACCCAAAGGTGGGTGTGGCTATACCAGGCTAATATATTTCAGCTCCACCCAAAGGTGGGTGTGGCTTTACCAGGCTCTGATCTATTTCAGCTCCACCTAAAGGTGGGTGTGGCTATACCAGGCTAATATATTTCAGCTCCACCCAAAGGTGGGTGTGGCTATACCAGGCTAATATATTTCAGCTCCACCCAAAGGTGGGTGTGGCTTAACCAGGCTCTGATCTATTTCAGCTCCACCTAAAGGTGGGTGTGGCTATACCAGGCTAATATATTTCAGCTCCACCCAAAGGTGGGTGTGGCTATACCAGGCTAATATATTTCAGCTCCACCCAAAGGTGGGTGTGGCTATACCAGGCTAATATATTTCAGCTCCACCCAAAGGTGGGTGTGGCTATACCAGGCTCTGATCTATTTCAGCTCCACCTAAAGGTGGGTGTGGCTATACCAGGCTAATATATTTCAGCTCCACCCAAAGGTGGGTGTGGCTATACCAGGCTAATATATTTCAGCTCCACCCAAATGTGGGTGTGGCTATACCAGGCTAATATATTTCAGCTCCACCCAAAGGTGGGTGTGGCTATACCAGGCTAATATATTTCAGCTCCACCCAAAGGTGGGTGTGGCAATACCAGGCTCTGATCTGTTTCAGCTCCACCCAAAGATGGGTGTGGTTATACCAGGCTAATATATTTCAGCTCCACCCAAAGGTGGGTGTGGCAATACCAGGCTCTGATCTGTTTCAGCTCCACCCAAAGATGGGTGTGGCTATACCAGGCTCTGATCTATTTCAGCTCCAGCCAAAGGTGGGTGTGGCTATACCAGGCTAATATATTTCAGCTCCACCCAAAGGTGGGTGTGGCTATACCAGGCTAATATATTTCAGCTCCACCCAAAGGTGGGTGTGGCTATACCAGGCTAATATATTTCAGCTCCACCCAAAGGTGGGTGTGGCTATACCAGGCTAATATATTTCAGCTCCACCCAAAGGTGGGTGTGGCTATACCAGGCTAATATATTTCAGCTCCACCCAAAGGTGGGTGTGGCTATACCAGGCTAATATATTTCAGCTCCACCCAAAGGTGGGTGTGGCTATACCAGGCTCTGATCTATTTCAGCTCCACCCAAAGGTGGGTGTGGCTATACCAGGCTAATATATTTCAGCTCCACCCAAAGGTGGGTGTGGCTATACCAGGCTAATATATTTCAGCTCCACCCAAATGTGGGTGTGGCTATACCAGGCTAATATATTTCAGCTCCACCCAAAGGTGGGTGTGGCTATACCAGGCTAATATATTTCAGCTCCACCCAAAGGTGGGTGTGGCTATACCAGGCTAATATATTTCAGCCCCACCCAAAGGTGGGTGTGGTTATACCAGGCTAATATATTTCAGCTCCACCCAAAGGTGGGTGTGGCAATACCAGGCTCTGATCTGTTTCAGCTCCACCCAAAGATGGGTGTGGCTATACCAGGCTCTGATCTATTTCAGCTCCACCCAAAGGTGGGTGTGGCTATACCAGGCTAATATATTTCAGCTCCACCCAAAGGTGGGTGTGGCTATACCAGGCTCTGATCTATTTCAGCTCCACCCAAGGTGGGTGTGGCTATACCAGGCTAATATATTTCAGCTCCACCCAAAGGTGGGTGTGGCTATACCAGGCTAATATATTTCAGCTCCACCCAAAGGTGGGTGTGGCTATACCAGGCTAATATATTTCAGCTCCACCCAAAGGTGGGTGTGGCTATACCAGGCTAATATATTTCAGCTCCACCCAAAGGTGGGTGTGGCTATACCAGGCTCTGATCTATTTCAGCTCCACCCAAAGGTGGGTGTGGCTATACCAGGCTAATATATTTCAGCTCCACCCAAAGGTGGGTGTGGCTATACCAGGCTAATATATTTCAGCTCCACCCAAATGTGGGTGTGGCTATACCAGGCTAATATATTTCAGCTCCACCCAAATGTGGGTGTGGCTATACAAGGCTAATATATTTCAGCTCCACCCAAAGGTGGGTGTGGCTATACCAGGCTAATATATTTCAGCTCCACCCAAATAGTGGGTGTGGCTATACCAGGCTAATATATTTCAGCTCCACCCAAAGGTGGGTGTGGCAATACCAGGCTAATATATTTCAGCTCCACCCAAAGGTGGGTGTGGCTATACCAGGCTAATATATTTCAGCTCCACCCAAAGGTGGGTGTGGCTATACCAGGCTAATATATTTCAGCTCCACCCAAATGTGGGTGTGGCTATACAAGGCTAATATATTTCAGCTCCACCCAAAGGTGGGTGTGGCTATACCAGGCTAATATATTTCAGCTCCACCCAAATAGTGGGTGTGGCTATACCAGGCTCCGTGATCTATTTCAGCTCCACCCAAAGGTGGGTGTGGCAATAGCAGGCTCTGATTTATTTCAGCTCCACCCAAGCTGATGGACAAGCCTGGGCGGGGGAAAATTCTGCCAACAATTTTAAAAACGACAAGGCCAGATATCAGCGTCAAGTTCGATTATCCAAGGTGTGTTGGTTTATATTTGTATTTGTTTTTATTATTAATTACTGTAAATTTTGAGATATGTGGTTAACTCTAAATATTACAAGAAAAGTATTTTAGTGTAAATCATGTTTTTTGTAAATCATTATCTTTCTTTCTATAAATCGTTTTTTTCTTCTCTCAATCATTTTTTTTTCTGTATCCCAGTATATATATATATATATATATATATATATATATATATATATATATATATATATATATATATATATATATATATATATATATATATATATCTGTAATATTTTTCTCGGAGACGATGAGCTTAATTTCTTCAGCAATATGTGTGGAAAGTGTGGAAAATATTTTGAAAGTCTATGATTCTCTTATGTACAAATGTATGTGGCCAGCTCACGCGACGGAAAAGCTAGAAAAGCAATAGAAAGAAAATATAAAATTGAAAGACACTTTTAACTGTTTTACATATTGAAATAATAATTGAATAATACTTTTCAATTAAAAAAAAAACCCACTCTGTTAGTTTGGTGTTATCATGATTAGTGTCTTTAAATTTTCTTTTATTCTTCAATCACAGAAACGTGTACGCTAGAATAAATATGTTGTTTCTTAATCTACACAAGTTTAATAATGACTATATAACAGCTTGACCTAATACTTGAATAAATGAGTGACTGACTAACATAGTTGCCATTTAGTTTAGAGTACCGTAACGAAATGCTTGTACTGTTGTGCTAATTGTCTTGCAAACATCAAAACTGATCTCGTGTTTTCTGTGTTCAGGACCTTTGCAGCAACGAAACGCTGGACCAAGATCTACAACCTGAACTTCGAAGACGAGGAGGAAATGAGGGAGATTGGGACCCAAACCCTGCCCATGTTCGTCATCACCAGCATGGGCACGCTGAAGAAGGTCTCTCTACAGGAGATGGAGCAAGTGATGGAGGCGAGGAGCAAGAGTTTGGCGGAGGAGTCGTTGCACTTTTTCCCGACCAAGAGGACCCAGATGTCCCCCGGCCCGACTGAGGTTCTCTCAAGATACGACCCTTTCAAGGCTGAGCAGTCGGAGATTATGAACGTCTTCCAGTCGCAGATGGATGTAAGGGGTGAGGTCACGGGTCACAGATGGATGTAAGGGGTGAGGTCACGGGTCACAGATGGATGTAAGGGGTGAGGTCACGGGTCACAGATGGATGTAAGGGGTGAGGTCACGGGTCACAGATGGATGTAAGGGGTGAGGTCACGGGTCACAGATGGATGTAAGGGGTGAGGTCATGGTGATATGAACTAGAGCGTACACGTTTAAAATATCAGGGTTTCTTTCATATTTATTTTGGGAGAGTGCTAATTAATTTTATGAGGGAAAAGGGGAATGCACTTGAAACTTTTGCAAGCTGAGAATAGTTTAAGTGTATATTTTCTATTAACATTTTAAAAAATTCTATTGCTTTGGACTTGCTCCGTTTACCCCCCCCCCCCCCCCCCCCCCACCCAGAGAGATACCGGAAAGAAACACTTTTTAATGCTCTAATAATTTATATAGCTTTTTAAAAAAATATAAGAGTAGTTTCTGGAAAAGATCCGAATTTGAGGAAACAGAATTGTGTGCCAGTGTTTCCAAGAACGAAACAGCATGATTACTATTCGACAATCTCTAATTTGGTGTTTTTGCTTCTGTGTAGCTACTTGTGACACTACTAAAATTAAGTAAGATTCATTTTTTAGTCCTAACGATCAATAGTGCAGATGAAGTAGAGTTCACATGTATTTTTACGTCGACATATGAAGATATGGTGTAAATACTGACCATTAATCATGTTTTTACTTGTGCCATTCGTAAATCAACCAATCAAAAGAAATGTTTATTTCAATTTCAGAGAAAAAAGCACTTGACGTAAGTACACATTAGATAATTGCCTGACGTATGAGTAGCTATAGAGAATTGCCTGACGTAGATTTAATTTGTTCACATGAGTAGCTATAGAGAATTGCCTGACGTACAGAGTTTCTTCCAGGCATCTCTTCGGGGGGGGGCTTCGCCCCCCCCCGAAAAATTTTTACCGCCCCCCCCGAACGAAATGAAATTTATATAATTTATATAGAAAATATATACTTTTAACAGTGTCCGCCCCCCCGAAGAAAGTTTACCGCCCCCCCGAAGATTTCAAGTGCCCCCCCGGAGAAAAAAGTCTGGAAGAAACACTGCTGACGTAGATTTAATTTGTTCACATGAGTAGCTATAGAGAATTGCCTGACGTAGATTTAGTTTGTTCACATGAGTGGCTATAGAGAATTGCCTGACGTAGATTTAGTTTGTTCACATGAGTGGCTATAGAGAATTGCCTGACGTAGATTTAGTTGGTTTACATGAGTGGCTATAGAGAATTGCCTGACGTAGATTTAGTTTGTTTACATGAGTGGCTATAGAGAATTGCCTGACGTAGATTTAGTTTGTTTACATGAGTGGCTATAGAGAATTGCCTGACGTAGATTTAGTTGTTCACATGAGTAGCTATAGAGAATTGCCTGACGTAGATTTAGTTTGTTCACATGAGTGGCTATAGAGAATTGCCTGACGTAGATTTAGTTTGTTTACATGAGTGGCTATAGAGAATTGCCTGACGTAGATTTAGTTGTTCACATGAGTAGCTATAGAGAATTGCCTGACGTAGATTTAGTTGTTCACATGAGTAGCTATAGAGAATTGCCTGACGTAGATTTAGTTGTTCACATGAGTAGCTATAGAGAATTGCCTGACGTAGATTTAGTTGGTTTACAGTGTGAAAATTTTTGTTATCTTGGGATTATTGTGTGCAATGTCATAGGTCGAGTGTTGAGGTGTTAGGCGAGTTTAGGTAGGGTTTTACCTCCGGGAACCAGGTATTGCGATCTCACTCTTGATCTCTATCGATGTGGTCCCAAGGAATGCTGGGCATTACGTTTTGTATAACCATTGGTGGCAGAAACTGCTGAAATCAAATCTATTGCTAACTAGCTACACTCTATCTTTGGAATATTTTCTCCTAGATGGGCTGCTGCCTCAAACCCTTCCCCCCTCTCTCTATCCCCCCCTCTCTCTCTCTCTCCCTCTCACTCTCTCTCTATCCCCCTCTCTCTCTCTCTCTCTCTATCCCCCTCTCTCTCTATCCCTCTCTCTCTATCCCTCTCTCTCTCTCTCTCTCTCTCTCTCTATCGCTCTCTTTATCTCGTATTACCGACTCAAACTTGTGTTCATTAGCCAGACAGACTCGAAAAGGGTTAACTTTGGAGCATTTGTCTCACACGTTACCAGCCACTGGACCTGAGATTTTCCAACAGGCTTCCCCTCCCCCACCCTGTTTGGGTTTCGAACTTGTGGCTTGCAAGTTACTCGTGGTCAACGGTTAGCCCATGCCGTCCTGCCGTCCTGACTAACAAGCCGTGTCCACTAGAAGATCCGAACTTGGGACTCTCCGGGTTAGCAGTTAAAAATCCAGTCTACACTAAGCTACCATGGTTCCTATAGTCTACATATAAATAATTTGATAATATTTGTTTGTATCATGATACTCTTGATCGTGTAATGCTACAACACCTGCATCATGATACTGCTACCTATGATACTATATCAATAACAACATACAACACAGCCAATGGAGGAAGGGGAGTTTGATTTTGAGGATATTCCCTATGACAGCTTGGGGAACCCCATCGGGAAAACCACAGGCATTTGTGAATGGTGTGGTGAGTTTGACGTTAACAGCTGTTTCAACTCAGTAGTGTTTCTTTGATTTCATTCATCTTATAGTAAATTCAGAGAACTTGTTGAACTAACTTTTAACTTACAACTATTTTAAAGATCAAGATTTAATATTTGGTATTAGACATAAAGTAGAATTATTTTAAGAAAAAAAAATGAGATTTTGTATACGATATATGCATAGAAAAAACATAAACAACTAATGATGATTTATTCACTTGAAAGTCTATAGAAAATTAATAAAGTAAAACTATTTTAAGAACAGAAGACCAATGTTAAATAAGTAACGGGTAATTAACTTGTATACGGGACAGGTGAGAACATTTTGCCGTTCCCCACCCATGTTTAAATAAGTAACGGGTAATTGACTTGTATACTGGACAGGTGAGAACATTTTGCCGTTCCCCACCCATGTTTAAATAAGTAACGGGTAATTAACTTGTATACGGGACAGGTGAGAACATTTTGCCGTTCCCCACCAATGTTTAAATAAGTAACGGGTAATTGACTTGTATACTGGACAGGTGAGAACATTTTGCCGTTCCCCACCCATGTTTAAATAAGTAACGGGTAATTAACTTGTATACGGGACAGGTGAGAACATTTTGCCGTTCCCCACCCATGTTTAAATAAGTAACGGGTAATTGACTTGTATACGGGACAGGTGAGAACATTTTGCCGTTCCCCACCCATGAAATGCTGAAACAAGTCTGGGACAAGAGTTCACTCTACTGCTGTAGGAAATACATGACGTTCGTACAGGACATGGAGGCAATGGAGCGGAAACTGGCGGTGAGGTCTTAGTCGGTGTTAGGTCATCAGTGGTTTTAGTCGGTGTTAGGTCATCAGAGTGTGAGGTTTTAGTCGGTGTTAGGTCATCAGTGGTTTTAGTCGGTGTTAGGTCATCAGATGTTTAAGTCTGTGTTAGGTCATCAGATGTTTTAGTCTGTGTTAGGTCATCAGAGGTTTTAGTCTGTGTTAGGTCATCAGATGTTTTAGTCTGTGTTAGGTCATCAGAGTGTGGGGTTTTAATCTGTGTTAGGTCATCAGAGGTTTTAGTCTGTGTTAGGTCATCAGAGGTTTTAGTCTGTGTTAGGTCATCAGAGGTTTTAGTCTGTGTTAGGTCATCAGAGTGTGAGGTTTTAGTCTGTGTTAGGTCATCAGAGGTTTTAGTCCGTGTTAGGTCATCAGAGTGTGAGGTTTTAGTCTGTGTTAGGTCATCAGAGGTTTTAGTCGGTGTTAGGTCATCAGATGTTTTAGTCTGTGTTAGGTCATCAGATGTTTTAGTCTGTGTTAGGTCATCAGAGTGTGAGGTTTTAGTCTGTGTTAGGTCATCAGATGTTTTAGTCTGTGTTAGGTCATCAGAGTGTGAGGTTTTAGTCTGTGTTAGGTCATCAGAGTGTGAGGTTTTAGTCTGTGTAGGTCATCAGAGGTTTTAGTCGGTGTTAGGTCATCAGAGGTTTTAGTCTGTGTTAGGTCATCAGAGGTTTTAGTCTGTGTTAGGTCATCAGAGTGTGAGGTTTTAGTCTGTGTTAGGTCATCAGAGGTTTTAGTCTGTGTAAGGTCATCAGAGTGTGAGGTTTTAGTCGGTGTTAGGTCATCAGAGGTTTTAGTCTGTGTTAGGTCATCAGAGGTTTTAGTCTGTGTTAGGTCATCAGAGTGTGAGGTTTTAGTCTGTGTAGGTCATCAGAGGTTTTAGTCGGTGTTAGGTCATCAGAGGTTTTAGTCTGTGTTAGGTCATCAGAGGTTTTAGTCTGTGTTAGGTCATCAGAGTGTGAGGTTTTAGTCTGTGTAGGTCATCAGAGGTTTTAGTCGGTGTTAGGTCATCAGAGGTTTTAGTCTGTGTTAGGTCATCAGTGGTTTTAGTCTGTGTTAGGTCATCAGAGTGTGAGGTTTTAATCTGTGTTAGGTCATCAGATGTTTTAGTCGGTGTTAGGTCATCAGATGTTTTAGTCTGTGTTAGGTCATCAGAGTGTGAGGTTTTAGTCTGTGTTAGGTCATCAGAGTGTGAGGTTTTAGTCTGTGTTAGGTCATCAGAGGTTTTAGTCGGTGTTAGGTCATCAGAGGTTTTAGTCTGTGTTAGGTCATCAGAGGTTTTAGTTTGTGTTAGGTCATCAGAGTGTGAGGTTTTAGTCTGTGTTAGGTCATCAGAGGTTTTAGTCTGTGTTAGGTCATCAGAGTGTGAGGTTTTAGTCGGTGTTAGTTCATCAGTGGTTTTAGTCTGTGTTAGGTCATCAGAGTGTGAGGTTTTAATCTGTGTTAGGTCATCAGATGTTTTAGTCTGTGTTAGGTCATCAGATGTTTTAGTCTGTGTTAGGTCATCAGAGTGTGAGGTTTTAGTCTGTGTTAGGTTATCAGTGGTTTTTGTCGGTATTAGGTCATCAAAGGTTTTAGTAGTTGTTAGGTCATCAAAGGTTTTAGTAGTTGTTAGGTCATCAGTAAGGTTTTAGTCTGTGTTAGGTCATCAGAGTGTGAGGTTTTAGTCTGTGTTAGGTCATCAGAGGTTTTAGTCGGTGTTAGGTCATCAGAGGTTTTAGTCTGTGTTAGGTCATCAGATGTTTTAGTTTGTGTTAGGTCATCAGAGTGTGAGGTTTTAGTCTGTGTTAGGTCATCAGAGGTTTTAGTCTGTGTTAGGTCATCAGAGTGTGAGGTTTTAGTCGGTGTTAGTTCATCAGTGGTTTTAGTCTGTGTTAGGTCATCAGAGTGTGAGGTTTTAATCTGTGTTAGGTCATCAGAGGTTTTAGTCTGTGTTAGGTCATCAGATGTTTTAGTCTGTGTTAGGTCATCAGATGTTTTAGTCTGTGTTAGGTCATCAGATGTTTTAGTCTGTGTTAGGTCATCAGAGTGTGAGGTTTTAGTCTGTGTTAGGTTATCAGTGGTTTTTGTCGGTATTAGGTCATCAAAGGTTTTAGTAGTTGTTAGGTCATCAAAGGTTTTAGTAGTTGTTAGGTCATCAGAGGTTTTAGTCTGTGTTAGGTCATCAGAGTGTGAGGTTTTAGTCTGTGTTAGGTCATCAGAGGTTTTAGTCGGTGTTAGGTCATCAAAGGTTTTAGTAGTTGTTAGGTCATCAGAGGTTTTAGTAGGTGTTAGGTCATCAAAGGTTTTAGTAGTTGTTAGGTCATCAAAGGTTTTAGTAGTTGTTAGGTCATCAGAGTGTGAGGTTTTTACGATGTGAAGTACTGTTGTGTAAAACGGTGAAAACTGTCAAAATTTCATGTGATGTTTGTGCACGATTACAATACTTCCACTATACTCTGTATACGATAAAGTAATAATGAAAGAAGCTGGTAGATCTATTTCTTTGAAATGATCTACGATTAATGGGTAAAAACACCCTTGAATGTATTGTAATGTTAAAAGTTGAAATTTTTGTTTGAACCACTCCAGTTAATACACCGAGGGCAGAAGTTGACTGCCTCTATGGTTTTTATTTTCAGCCACAAATTAAGGGGTTTGCTTCCAGGATCAGCATCAAGCCCCACGGTAAACGTCAGTCTATTAGGAAAGCTAGCAGGTATGTCTGGTGGGGGTGTCTATGGAAAGAGGGGCGGGGTTTCTTTGGAATGGTGGGCGGGGTAACTTTGGAAAGGGGGGTGGGGAAACTGTGGAAAGGGGCGCGGGGTAACTTTGGAAAAGGGGGGCGGCGATACTGCGTACAAGGGGGCAGGGTAACTGCGGAAAGGGGCGGGGTAACTGTGGAAAGGGGGCGGGGGGGGGCGGGGTAACTGTGGAAAGGGGGGGGGGGGGCGGCGATACTGCGTACAAGGGGGCGGGGTAATTGTGGAAAGGGGGTGGGGTAACTATGGAAAGGGGGGCGGGATAGCTGTGGAAAGGGGGGCGGGGTAGCTGTGGAAAGGGGGCGGGGTTGATGTTTGTGTGTGGTTGTTGGGGTGATGATCTGTAAGTTGGGCTTACTATTTGACACATCCGGGTGTTTATAAAGATTCTTTCTTCTTCTGCCATAGGGCTGCGGCGCTACTACAGGACTCACTGAAGATGGCAATGCTTGAGGCGAAGGCTCACGAACCAAGTAAGCTTTTGACCTTTCTCTCTCACAGGTTTAGGCACAGTTTTAAACATGCAGTTATGACAAAATATGAAATTTTATAAAACACTGAAATAAATTGGTTGAATATTTTTTCAACAAAATAAACAGCTAAAGTTTCAATTAAAAAACAATAATCGTTTTTTACATAAAAAAACGTACTAAGCACTTTGCAAAACATTTCTTTTGTTTTCAACACTAAGGTCTTACTTAGGTTTTGTCTTCTTTTTTTTGTTACAGTAAACTTTAAAAGGATCTCACAACATATGTCCTTCTTTTTTACAGTAATGTTTATCACTTGTTTTTGACAGTAAACTGAAGTTTATAACTATAAGTTCCTCATAGAAATTTCTCTAGTATTGACATTGAAGGCACGCGGGGGTTCTTGAAATATTTTTTCTTGTATTGACGGTGAAGGTACGGCGGGCCCTGGCAAAATGTTTTTCTTGTATTGACAGTGAAGTCACGACGAAGCTCTAAACAAGAAACCAGGAACAAAAACGTCGATACCTTCGATCTACCCTGGGACCCCTACGACACGAAGATCGATCAGACGCTCGTCTTCGACGAGGGCGTGTACTTTGACCCCACCTACCACGCCTACCTGTACCCGGATGTTGTGGCCCTAGCCTCAGGGACGTACCTGGCCGAGGATTTCAACGCCCTGTAGCACGTGACTGCCGGGGATCGTCACGTGATGGTGGTAGGGTCAGGTGGAAGTGTGGGGTTCTGATTAGTTGTGTGGTGTGTGTTAATTAATTGTGGTGAGGTGGTAATAAGTTATTGGGCGCTAATAGATTGTGGGGTGCTAATTGATTAGTGGATATTAATCAATTGGGAGATATAAATGCATTGTGGGATATTAACTATTTGGGATATTAATGAATTGTGGGATATTAATGGAGTTTGGGATATTAATGAATTGTGGGATACTTATGAATTGTGGGGTATTAAAGAAATGTGGGATATTAATGGTATTTGGGATATAAATGGAATTTGGGATATTAATGAATTGTGGGATATTAAGAATATGTGGGATACTAATAGATTGTGGGTTGCTTAGGGATCATTTGATACTAATAAATTTTTTGATTTGACTGAGTTGTGAAATTCTATTGAATTATGGCATACTAATGACATATGGGGTAAAAAGATTGTTGTGTACTAGTGTACTATGGGTGTTTAAGTGGATTGAGGACCTGATTCTGGGAGTTTAACGGATGGGAATCACCAATGGATTTGTTTTAAGATACTACTTAGCTGTTTTATACTAATGACATGCTGATTGATTGTGAGAACTGGCTAAAAATAATTAGGTGTTAATGATTTTATAATTAAAATGAACTCACTTTTTTTTCAAAAATGTATTTTAATGTTTATTTCATCTTGTAGTATCACTCTCATGCTTATATAATTAGTTACTAATTTCATATGGTGTTAAGAAAAGCACCTTTTAAACATTAAAAATAAGTACGTTTCAACACCAATAAAAGGGACATCACTGAAGAAAAAAAGACATACCGTTGTTTTTAGGATTATGTACCTTGAAAGTTGTAAATTCTCAGATTAAGATTTTTCTTCTTTAATGACAAATACAGGAATGTTAGGATAAAAACAAAACAAAATCTAAACTCTGTGTTTTAATAATCAAAATAATAAAAATTAAAAATCAACTCTAAATAATAATATTTGGGGAATAATATATAGGTGAAGTAATGCATGAAAGACAGAGAGAAAGACGCATTCTAATATATATATATATATATATATATATATATATATATATATATATATATATATATATATATATATATATATACATATATATATGTATATATATATATATATATGTATATATATATATACATATATATATGTATATATATATATATATATATGTATATATATATATATATATATATATATATATATATATGTATATATATATATATATATATGTATATATATATATATATATGTATATATATATATATATATATATATATATATATATATATATATATATATATATATATATATATATATATATGTATATATATATATATATGTATGTACATATTATTTTATGTATATATATATATATATATATATATATATATATATATATATATATATATATGTATATATACATATATATATATATGTATATATACATATATATATATATGTATATATATATATATATATATATATATATATATATATATATATATACATATATACATATATATATATATATATATATATACATACATATATATATATATACATATATATATATATATATATATATATATATATATATATATATATATATATATATATATATATATATATATATATATTCATATATATACATAAATTTAAAAAAAAACAACGATTCAACATTGATCAAAATGATAACCAATGTTTACAAAAGACTAGGATGAACGCAGAAAGAATAGAGGTATGAAGGATATTGAGATGCACCAAATAGAGGTTTAAATCCAGCCAGTGAAAGATAAAACAAGAAAATATTTCACCCAAAAAATCTATATCATATGGAAACATCCAAAAATAAACCCGTCCAATTTTTCCTTAATTAACCGAGATTTTGAAGATCACGGAAACATATTTCAGATAAGAGGATTGGTATCAATATAAAAACCTGAGGCCCATAAATTGGGTGGGTGGAGTGTCACATTGTTATTTGTTGCGATTTTGAAACATGAAACACAGTGTCTACCAGCACATAATCTAACTACCGTGTTGTTAAGCTATGTTAACATCTAACTAACGTGCTGTTGTGCTATGTTAACATCTAACTACCCTTCTGTTGAGCTATGTTAACATCTAACTACCTTACTGTTGTGCTATGTTAACATCTAACTACCGTGCTGTTGTGCTATGTTAACATCTAACTACCCTACTGTTGAGCTATGTTAACATCTAACTACCGCGCTGTTGTGCTATGTTAACATCTAACTACCCTACTATTGAGGTATGTTAACATCTAAATGCCGTGCTGTTGTGCTATGTTAACATCTAACTAACGTGTTGTTAAGTTATGTTAACATCTAACTACCGTGCTGTTGAGCTATGTTAACATCTAACTACCGTGTTGTTGAGCTATGTTAACATCTAACTACCGTGTTTTTGAGTTATGTTAACATCTAACTACCCTGCTGTTGAGCTATGTTAACATCTAACTAACGTGCAGTTGAACTATGTTAACATCTAACTACCGTGCTGTTGAGTTATGTTAACATCTAACTACCGTGTTGTTGAGCTATGTTAACATCTAACTACCGTGCTGTTGAGCTATGTTAACATCTAACTACCGTGCTGTTGAGCTATGTTAACATCTAACTACCGTGTTGTTGAGTTATGTAAAATCTAACTACCGTGTTTTTGAGTTATGTTAACATCTAACTACCCTGCTGTTGAGCCATGTTAACATCTAATTAATGGCAGTTGAGCTATGTTAACATCTAACTACCGTGCTGTTGAGTTATGTTAACATCTAACTATCCTGCTGTTGAGCTATGTTAACATCTAACTACTGTGCTGTTGAGGTATGTTAACACCATATCAACCCAACTAAGACTGCAACAGTTTGAAAAACAAATTAAAAAACACCATTCTACTCGTATATTTTACTTTGTCATGAACTCTCACAGTAGAATGGTCGTTTTAATCCGTTGAAAACAACAATAAGGTTTCTATTTATAGCAATTATAGTCAGTACTATTGTCAGTTTTTGATACATTTCAACTCCCCCACTTTTGCCTTTTCTAAAAATAGCCGTAACGTCGTAAACATGATTTAAAAGTACGTGTGGAGCGGACAGACCACTTAAGAAGCCGGCAGATTAAGGGATGAATACAACCTAATGGCATTATGACGCTCGTGACGAGCTGATGGATTAACCCTCCAATGGCCAGAGTTTGGGCTCGTGTCGTGCCGCTAAATTAACCCTCATAGGGCAGAATTTGTAATCGTGTCTAGCTGATGAATTAACTCCATTGTCCAGAAATTAGAGCCTGTGTATATTTTAAAGTTCATTACACTCGTTTGAAGCGGATACATTAACCCCCTACTAGCCAAAGTTGTTATCACCGTAAAGCTGCTAAATTAATTATGCTATTTCAAAATATAGTGAGTTTTTGTTGTTGTTTAACCCTTCACTTGCCGTTATTTGACTCATGTATACTGCTCGACTAACCCTCAGATGCCTGTTTTAGATTGTGTCTAGCTGCTGAATTAATTCTCAGCGGTCCAAAATCTTTATGAGCTTACTGAGCCCTCAACCAGAGGCGTAGCGAGGGGGGAGGGAGACGGGGGTGCGGACAGCACCGGGTGACACCATTTAGGGGGGTGACACCAAGGCAAAAAATAGCAAAATATATAGAGAAAAATTTGAGGGGGTGGGGTGCAAATCGAAAGTTTAAAAGGGGGGGGGTGCAAACCGAAAGTTTGAGGGGGGGGGGTGCAAATAAAAAAAAATTGAGGGGGGGGGGGTGTAAATCGAAAGTTTGAGGGGGAGTGCAAACGAAATTGTGTCCCCGCGAAGGTTCGCTACGCTGGGGTGTGACACCATTAAGTGCCGCACCGGGTGACACCCAACCTCGCTACGCCACTGCCCTCAACAGACCAGAATTTTGGCCCGTGTCTAGCTGCTAAATTAACACTTTACTCGCAAGTATTTGGAAATGAACAACGTGCGCGCGCAACCTCAAGCTGCGCAAACCAACCAATAGAAAAGCACTTCCGTTTTCCCGAGACCCGAGGCTGCTGTGGGTCAATTATCCCATAAATCACAGCCACACATTGTCCTTCCCAACTCCGGAAGTGACGTATTGACTAGCTGGAGCCAGCAGTTTTGACCTGATCTATTTTTACCGAAACTGGACCAGTGTGTTATGGCGGTGTGTCAGTAATCTGTTCTAAGGTTTCTGCTGTTGTCTCTAGGACTTCCTGATGTTGTTTATGATGTCAGGTGAGCTGACTACGACAATCCTGACAGGACTGGGCATAAATCCTGACTATGATAAAAATGGTTTCATCGTCTTTGAATCTTAGTCTTTTTTTGTAATTGAATACGAACTCATTAATCATGTGTTATATAACATATTTGATATAAAGTATAACAATAGACGATTGAGTTTTGAGTAGAAAATACATCAATGTGAATTTTTAGGTTTTAGGGGAGCTGGACGTTTAAACGAAAGGCACTTGCCCAAATGCTTTTTGCCCGAAGGCCGATACCCCGAATGGACACTTACCCGAATGCGACAAATTTTAGAATGGACACTTGCCCGAATGCGACAAACGCCCGAATTCACATTTGCACGCATGCGACAAAGGTCCGAAAGCCAATGGACAATATATGCTGGAGGTCTTTGTAGTAGTGGGGCTTAAGTCCAACTCGCACTACTATACTCATTTTAAATTACATTCATTTATCTACAGAAAATAAAAGCACTGTTAAATGTAATTTCCTAAATTTTAATTCAACAACATAAAGAAGTTCCTGGCTTAAAAGTATTTATCCATGACATGGGATTTGGTCGTGGCTAAAACAGAACAGAAATTCGAATCTCTAGCTTTTAATGATGATTAGCATATGGAGTGTATTGTAATGGGAACAATGGAGAATTACAGGGTGATTCAGATCAGCTGTTGCATGTACATTATAATTAGAAATCTGATAGAAGCGTTAGAAATCTGATATCAAGGTTTTGTTAGATGAAGGGGTAGATGAATCACGATGGTAGAAGATCCTGAGTTGCAGTCATAGTTCTTCGAACATGGGGAGAAGGGGGGGGGGGGGGGGGCAGGTGTGAAGTGTTACAGGTGTGTAGTGGTACAGGTGTGTAGCGTTACAGGTTTGTAGTGTTACAGGTGTGTAGTGTTACAGGTGTGTAGTTTTACAGGTGTGTAGTGTTACGGGTGTGTAGTGATACAGGTGTGTAATGTTACAGGTGTGTAGTGTTACAGGTGTGTAGGGTTTCATGTGTGTAGTGTTAAGGTGTACAGTGGTACAGGTGTGTAGTAGTACATATGTTTTTTTACCTGTGTGTAGTGTACCGGTGTGTAGTGCTATGAGTGTGTAGTCATACATGCGTGTAATGTTAAATGCATGTGGTGTTACAGGTATGTACTGTTACACCTTAGCACCTCTACTAATTGTTTACTACCAGGTGTACAACCCAGGTGTTTTGTATTCCCCCCCCCCCCCCATCCACAGTCTCCCACCGCTGGACTATCAGAAGATCTATTCGTCATTTGTTCTCTAGAACACCGTGACCTGATAGCCGGTCATCTCGACCCTCTACA